TTAAAAAAGAAAATAAAAAAGGTGATATTCAATTCTGTATCACTTCTATTATCTTATTTGCTTTCCAGAAATCTAAGTTGATTAAGTGAGTTTATAACATTTTACCTTTGACTCTAATTATGGTTGATATTTTTGGAAAAAAAATGAAAATATCTACATAATAGAAACTTAAAAGTCAGTCAGGGGTATAGGGAAAGGGCAGATAAATTTGCAGGTCTTCAGTTTGCATTCCTTAGGGTTAACAAGTACATTCCCTTTAACTCTAGGCAATAAGGACATCACATGGGTCATGTTGGAAGCAGGAGCAGAGACAGATGTTGTCAACTCTGTAGGAAGAACAGCTGCCCAGATGGCAGCCTTTGTGGGTGAGTTTTTAACTATAATTTCACATTGCAGTATCCTCTTTCCTTTCTGGAGAAAAATACTATCTTGGTTTTCAAAGTACGAATAACTGTCTGCATTGGTGGTATAGTGGTGAGCATAGCTGCCTTCCAAAGTATGAATAACTGTTACATTTATTATATTTTTATTTTATGTGTGTATGTTTTGTCTACATATATGTAAGTTTACCCATGTGTACAATGCCACAGAGGCAGAAGAGGGCCTTGGATATCCTAGAACTAGAGTTACAGACTATTGTTAGCAACCATGCAGGTCCTTGGAGCCCAAACCTGGTTACTGTGCAAGAGCAGCCAGTGTTCTTAATCACTGAGTCATCTTTCTAGCCCCTGTGTTTATTATTATTATTATTATTATTATTTTCAAAGTAAAGTGTGGAGAATTAACTCTAACATAACAAAATCCCTAATGACATTCTGGAGACAGTGAATGGCCATATTGAATTTCTGAGTGACAGAGTTCATGAATATTTAATTGCAGTCGTGTTTTGAAGGATTACAGTTTATTTCTCAAATGGAGGTAGTTTAGCCTAATGATTAAGAACAAACCTGTGAAGTCAGCAGACCTGAGTTGAAATTCCGGCTGTGACACTTAGTAGCAAAGTACTGAACAATTTTGCCTTTCATTTTCTTCATTTAAACTAGTTACAGGGCTATTCAAAGGATTAATAGAGATGATAGACTTAAAGGTCTTCACATACAGAACTAACAAATAGTATGAGTTGCCAATGTGATTAATAATTAGAACAGTCAGGAAATTCTTTTCTAGGAAGGAATGTAGGTAATGATTTTAAACTGCTTCATTATCTTCATGAATGACATTTATTTTGTGTACCTCTCATTCTTGGCACGTTCATTCTATTATTTGCCATAATGTATGGCAGAATGAGTGAATACTTGATCATTAGTATTTTGTACTCTTTGCACTGGCAAAGATAAAAAGCAAAGATAGTAACAGCTGATTTAGTGGGGACACAGTAAGTGGCCCTGTGATGATATAAATTCACTAAACAAAGTCTTCATGTTCACATCCTATTGTATCTTTAGGTGCTTTGGTTACAGCGACAAGTAAGCATAGGTTGCTCAGACTTGGATAGCTTTTAAAGGCAGCTAGCAATGGACAAATGATGGGAGATTATACTCCAAGAGAGAATTTGAGTTCTATAGCAATTTATAGAAGAGGGGGATCGTCTATCCTGTTCCAAGAGGTTTTTGAGAGAAATTTTGCTTAGGCTAAGATACAGTGGGAATTGGTCAGATATGGGCAACATTAATTATATATTATGTTAAATATTTTAATCAAATTTTCTTGAAATTAGTGTAGTAGCTGCCTTGCATTAAGCCAGGCAGTCTGTTTCTGACCACAGAACAAATATTCTTGTTTTATTTTTATTCAGAATTTGACAAAGGTGTGGCCTTGCTGTGCAAACTTCAGAGAAGTAGTTTATTAAGTCTCAGAGATTCTCACCTCGTAAATGCATTGTCAGCACAGGTGTCAGCACAGTGGATTCTGAACTAGAAATCTAGGGATATGCACTTTAGTTCAGATCTGCTGCTAATCAGGATTATGGAGAAATCCCACTGCTCAGGACCTCAGGTTTCTGATTGATGTCCAGTGAAGGAGGGGAATCAGATGATTGCCAGTTTTCTTTAACTTTGCAAGTTTTCATTATGTCCTCAGTGAAACAAAACAGCTCCAGTAGAGGTTAGCTTTGCCTGGGTCACAGGCCTGGAGATGTGGGTGACTGTTCACCATCCACACAGACAGTTGTCTTTTTTCAGAAATGACAACATTACTAAAACCTGAAAACACAAATTGTTTATAATCCCATTCTATTTTTTTTCTCCCTGTTTAATGAACATATTTTGGCCATATATGTGTCTGTCGGAGGGGGGGTAGATTGTGTTTCTATATAAAATCTAGGAACCATAAATGAGAGAAAATGTACTGAGTTAATTTGCTTAATATGATTATCTCCAGTTGCGTCCATTTCTGCACTCTAAAACAGCAATGTTTTCACTGCATTTGAATCTGTTGAGAGGAATGTGGCAGATAGAAAAATACACCACACCTTTTCACTTGAGGCTATGTTTTCCATATAACTAGCCTTTAAAAGAGGAATTCTTGAGAACCCCAACCCTACCTGAGAAACCATTGGCTACTGGAAACTGCTAGCTACTGGAAAGTGGGGAGTCAGTCTCTTTTAAGGGTGTGACTCTTGGTAGGTTAACCAGATTCCAGTGGATGGAGCCACGCTGAAGGTCATTTGGGGACATGAACTTGACTCTAGGAATTTATATATGTATATAATAAAGTGTATGAAATTGGGTCAGGGTGTATTAAAAGGAGTTGCAGATAGGGGAGGGGATCAAAATATAAAAATACAGCATGTGAAATTCTCAAAAATTCAGTTTTAAAAAAGGGAAAAAAGTAATTCTTGGGGCTGGAGAGATGGCTCAGAGGCTAAGAGCACTGGCTGCTCTTGCAGAAGACCAGGCTCACTTCTCAACACCCACATGGTGGCTAACAACCATCCATAACTCCAGTTCTAGGGGATCCAGTGCCCTTCTTTGGCCTCTGCAGGCATAGCATGCACGTGGTACACTTGTATGCATGTAGGCAAATGCTTATACACATAAAATAAAAGAAATAAATTTTAAAAGTTTTTTTTTAAAGTAATTCTCTTTGTTCCCTTGGTTCAAGGGGATCATTGTAAACATGGGTCTGCTCACATATACACGATTTTTTTTGTTAGTTTTGTTTGTTTTTGAGACAGGGTCTGCATTGCCCAGCACAGGTGTCCAACCTGTCTTTAGCTCTCCCTATTGTCAGATTTTACAGCTCATATCCACTCACTGGAAATAACCTCTGCTAGATATTACTCTGTTCTTACTAATGTGGTGTGTGACAGATGGTATGTTGCAGCATTGTATCCCCTCATAATTAGTGAAATCAAACCTCAGCGTTAGACATTTGCATGTTCTTCTGATGATGGTTCATCATCGTCTTTCTTCCTTTTTTTCTTTTCTTTTTTCTTTTTCTTTTTTTTTTTTTGATGAAAGGTCTCATGTAGCCCAGGCCAACCTTGAACTTGCAGCATGGTTGAGACTGGCCTCAACTTCTCCACCTTCCAGTTTACCTTTACAGATCTCTATCACCACTCCAGGTGCTTTCTCCATTGGGGGTGGGGTATCATTTTATCACTACTTGGAACAGGTTTGTGTATATTAGGGGCTATAAACCCTTTCTCTATCAAATGTGTTTCCAAAATCTTATGCCAGTCTCAGATTTCCTATAATTTTATGAAGATGTTTGCTGTAGAAAAAATTATTTATTTTAATTTTTTTTTGTTCACTGTGCTGAATAGCTTTAGTGTCAACTTGACACACCTGGGTAGAGGAAGCCTCAACTGGGGCATTGCCTCCATAGGACTGGCCTGTGGCCATGTCTGTGGGGCACCTTCTTGATTGTTTAGTGATTTGGGAGGGCCCAGCCCACTGTGGGTGGTGCCACCCCTGGGAAGGTGAGTAGGTGTTGCATAAGAAAGCAGGCTGAGCAGGGGCCAGGGAGCAAGTCAGTAAGCAGTGATCCTCTTTGGCCAGTGCTCCAGCTCCTGCCTCCAGGTTCCTGCCCTGAATTCCTACCTTGAGCTTCCTGATGAACTGTGACCTGGGAGATGTAAGACAAATAAACTCTTTCCTCCCCAAGTTGGTAGTGGTCAGAGTATTTTGTCACAGGAATGGAAAAACAAGCTAGAACATTTGCTTTTTGAGACTGGGTCTTCCTATAGCATCAGCTGGCTGGGAACTTACTCTGTAGATCAGGCTGGCCTCAGTCTCACAGAGATCTGTCTGCTTCTGCCTCCCCAGTGCTGGTATTAAAGGCATGTGCCACCACATCAGGCTAAAATGATTGTACTTCTAGAATTCATTTATTCATTTTTTTTTTTTTTTTTTATAGTTTTTGTTTTGCCAGATGTATATGAAATAATGGTTAGGAACATTTATAGAACAATCCAATGTTTACCCAGTGCACTGAAACACTACCTTTGTGGTAAGTTAAATTCTTTTATTAAGTGTTCATAAAAAATGAAATAAAAAAATAAATTCTTTTATTAAGTGGTCATATAATTATTCAGAGACAATAATTATCTGTGTAGTGTTGGGTCTTCCCCAGCATTCCCATCCAATCATGTAACATCCTTTTGCATGTGTTTTTTTAGGGGGGAAAGGAATCATTTTTGGACTTATTACAATATTTAATAGATTCTTTCATATCAAGATTTTTTTTTGTTTTGTGTTTTTTCTTCTTTTGTTTGTTTACTTGTTTGTTGAGTCAGGGTCTTACTATGTAGCTTAGGCTGCCTTGGAACTGTGTAGCCTATAGTCCCTTCAAACTTGCAGTTTTGGGGGCTGGAGAGATGGCTCAGAAGTTAATAGCACTGGCTTCTCTTGCAGAGGTCCCAGGTTCAGTTCCCAGTATCTACATGGCAGCTAACAACCATCTGTAACTCCAGTTCCAGGGGATCTGATGCCATCTTCTTGCCTCCATGGGCATTGCATGCATGGTGCACTTAACATATATGGAGGTAAAACACTTATATAAATAAAATAAAAATAAATAAATGCAATTTAAAAAAAAACTTGCAGCCAGGTATGGTGGTGCACACCTATAGTCCCAGCACTTGGGAGGCAGAGGCAGGCGGCTCTCTGTGTTCAAGGCCAGCCTGGTCTACATAGTGAGTTCCGGGGCTACAGGGAGACCCTATTTCAAAAAGACAAAAACAAAAAACAAACAAAAAAAACAAAAAACCTTGCAGTCTTCCTGCCTCAGCTAGGATTAAAGCTGTATGCCATCATGCCTGACTACTGTATCAGTCATTTTTCAACAGTTCATAACTAAGTAGTTTTAATTATTGGCCACATTGTAAGAATTCTTACTGCCACATTCCACAGTCTGCCATTCATTGTGGGTGGAAGTAGAGAAGTATAGAGTTTTTCATTTTTCTTACCTTTTTCTTAGTCTCCTGGGATTGTAATATGTGCCCTAGAAGCCCAGCTTTTCAATGAGGTCTGGGAATTCAAACTCACTTCCTTGATAAACACTCTCACCCACTGAGCTCTCTTCCCGGCCGCCTGATTCCTTATTTTCATTTTTCCCTCTCTTTTTATATCTTTTCCCTCCCTTCCCCCTTTCCCGCTTTTTAAAATTTTTTTTTTACTTTTAATTTTTAAGGCATGGTTTAATATAGCTCAGGCTGGCTTCCAACTTGGATATATTAACTGAAGATGACTTTCAACTAATCCTTCTGCCTCCACCTCCCAACTGTTGTGATTATAGGCATGTACTACATTTCATTTAAATAGTATAGTTTATACACATAGGTAAATTCTGATTTACAACCCCAAATGGTAGTTTCTCATTTTTAGCTGTTATTTACCATATGCATAGTTAATATTGGTTCTCATACACCTGGTTACATTCCTTTTCTCTTCCCTCATTTTCTCTCCTGTTTTATATGGTCACTGCTAGTGTATGTGTGTGTTTCCTCAATGTGACTGTCTTGGTGAAAGTTGTACCTCACCCTCTATCCCAAGGTGCTGTCTTTGCCTATTGAGCAGTTCCAGCAGGAGGAAGTCCTTACACGTCATTTCTCCTTTGTTTTTGCCTTCTCAGGTCTGAAGACCTTTTCCCTCTGTCTTCCACACTACTGCCTCGGAGACCGTGCCTATAACACTTCTAGCTGTGAACTTTGCCAAGAGTCTAGTATCTCTGGTGCTAGAATAGAATGCTATTGGCAGGTGCCCCTTTTCTTTCAATAGCACTGTTGACATTATGACTTCTCAGTAATTCTGTCTTCACCCATCTAACTGTCCCTGTGCTCTTCCTCTGGATGGCTTATGAGAGCTCTGCTTTCATGTAAGTTTTGGTTTTGAGACCTCAGATGAGTTACGTAGATTGCATATCTTTTGAAACCCATCATAACAGAATGATCTTTCTCTCTGAAACGTGAGTTATATATTGGGCTAGTTTCATGATTCTTATATCATAGTTCTTTTCTCTCAATCACATTTCAAAGTTATGCCACGAGTTTCTAAATTCTGGTTTTGCAAATGAGAATTTAATTTATTTTCTATTCCAAACTTTACATTCCCCTTTCTGGAAAAGTTTGACTTTTCAGTTCACCATTGAAATTTAAATTTTTACTAGGACTTGTCAGTGAGCCTTTGCCATCTAGAAGACCCAAGTCTAGTCATTATAATGCCATAGGAGGGCATTATACACTATATTTACATGTTATTATTCCAGAAGATGAAAGGACAGCCTAATGGAAAGTGTGGCAGAGGGCTGGCTGGATCTGATGTGGTGGCAGCTGCTTATTACATGGTGTCAACCAGGGAACCAAAAGGTAGTCTGGTAACACATTCATGCTGCTAATACACTCATACACATAAAGTAAAATAAAAAATTTTTTTTTTTTTTTGGGTGGGTGCAGTGAACTTTATTGATGGTGTTCAAGAGAGTAGGGTGCCCTAAGCCCCTCCCCTTCTTCAGGGGGTCTAGGATGGAAACTGAAGGAAGATGCTCAGTGTTCGGGGCTTAGTTAGGGCAGGGGACCCCCCCCAGCTGAGGGTCTCTCCCTTCCTCTTGCTGGGGTCAGTGGTTGTTAGGGCTTCTTACTCCTTGGAGGCCATGTGGACCATGAGGTCCACCACCCTGTTGCTGTAGCCAAATTCGTTGTCATACCAGGAAATGAGCTTGACAAAGTGGTCGTTGAGGGCAATGCCAGCTCCAGCATCAAAAGTAGAAGAGTGGGTATCACTGTTGAAGTCGCAGGAGACGACCTGGTCCTCAGTATAGCCCAGGATGCCCTTTAGGGGGCCCTCGGATGCCTGCTTCACCACCTTCTTGATGTCATCATACTTAGCAGCTTTCTCCAGGCGGCAGGTCAGATCCACGACAGACACATTGGGTGTAGGAACACGGAAGGCCATGCCAGTGAGTTTCCCATTCAGTTCTGGGATGACCTTGCCCACAGCCTTGGCAGCCCCAGTGGATGCAGGGATGATGTTCTGGGCAGCCCCACGTCCATCACGCCATAGTTTCCCAGAGGGGCCGTCCACAGTCTTCTGGGTAGCTGTGATGGCATGAACTGTGGTCATGAGTCCCTCAACAATGCCGAAGTTGTCATGGATAACCTTGGCCAGGGGGGCTAAGCAGTTGGTGGTGCAGGAGGCGTTGCTGACAATCTTGAGGGAGTTGTCATATTTCTCATGGTTCACACCCATCACAAACATGGGGGCATCAGCAGAAGGGGCAGAGATGATGACCCTTTTGGCTCCACCCTTCAAGTGGGCCCCAGCCTTCTCCATGGTAGTGAAGACCCCAGTAGACTCCACAACATACTCAGCACCAGCATCACCCCATTTGATATTGGCGGGATCTCGCTCCTGGAAGATGGAGATGGCCTTCCCATTGATGACAAGTTTCCCATTCTCAGCCTTAACTGTACCATTGAACTTGCCATGGGTGGAATCATACTGGAACATGTAGACCATGTAGTTGAGGTCAATGAAAGGGTCATTGATTGCAACAATATCCACTTTGCCAGAGGTGAAGGCAGCCCTGGTAACCAGGCGCCCGATACGGCCAAATCCGTTCACTCCGACCTTCACCATGGTGTCTCAGGGACTAGGCTGGCACTGCGCTAGAAGATGCGGCTGTCTCTAGAACGGGGAGGAGCAGAGAGCCAAAATAAAAATATTTAAAAAATTTTTTTGATTTATTCATTTTTATTCCATGTATATGTGTGTTTTGCCTGTTTGTATGTAAGTGCACCTATGTCATGCAATGCCAATGGAAGCCAGAAGAGGGCATCAGATACCCTGGAACTGGAGTTGACAGTTGGGAACTGAACCCAGGTCCTCTGCAAAAGCAGCCAGTGCTCTTAACCACTGAACCATCTCTGTAGCCCCCAAGACATCTAAACATAGCACCTTGGCTGATTTCAGATTTTTAATGTGTTTGATTTTCAAGATGTAGGTAGAAATTTCAGCAGAAAGAAGACTACAGGGAAAGAGGAAGAAATGAAAGAGAAAGGACTCCCTGTTCTAAAAGAAAAGAAAGACACTGATGGTTTGGCATTTAGTAGTTGCATAGACATCAGAAATGATCCATCATCACTACTGAATCCTTTCTTCAAATCAGGACATTTTTTTCTGTCACTTATTTAATGTTATATCTATTCTCTGTCTGTATCTCTGTTTCTGTCTCTCTGTCTCTCTCTTTCTCTCTAAGATTTTTATTCTTTTTTGATGTTATTTTTCCTGGGTGTCTTACCAGTTCTCTCTCTGAATGATTTTCTGTTTTGAAGCATTTCATTCAGTTAACCCGTTACTAATTTAGTTCTCAGTAGCAAACAGGATTCTCTTTCAAATTGCTTATTAATTTTTAAAATTTGAACTTTCCTGTGGTTCTTGAGGCCTTGGATACTATTATGGAATCTGCATAAGGTAGTGGTTTTTGACTGTGGTTGTGATGGTAGTTGTGGATAATGTTAGTGAATTTCCAACTCAAGAAACCATCTTTTGGAGGTATTGCATAGCCTCTCTACTTTGCCCTACATCTCCTATGCAGCCAGGTAAAGTCTCTAGGGTTGTGTAGCAGATGGGCAATGTGCTGTAGTCTCTATACCTGTGCATCCAAGGTCACAACCTCCCGAGCCCAAGGAGAAATTTGTTCCACTCTCCAGTTTCCCAGAAATGCTGAGTTCCCTGCCAGTCTCAGGTACAGGGTCCAGGTGACTGACAGTACAGTCTCCTTCAGGCCTGTTGTCAGTAGGATCAAGCAGATGCTCCCAGCACCCTGTACATGCTGGCTGTCCAGAGTGGAACATTCTCCTCAGGACTGGCTGCCATTGGTCCCCAGGCAGAGAGGAGGAAGCGCCTCCTCCAGAGATCTTGGAAGAGCTGGCACCGTCACATGTGCCCTGCAGGTTCTGCCTGCTCTCCCTGAGTGCTGCTTACTCTAGAGAGGTAGTGGAGAGGGAGCTGGGGTGGGGGGATGGGTAGGGGCAGCAGGAGCAGGGTCAGGCTACCAGTGTTCCCAGGAAGGCTGTGAGTGGCTTAGCCTTCTCTGAGAGACTGTAATGTTGACTCCAAGCTCATGGGAGCAAAAGCTTTCTCCCTAATTTTACAAAGAAGACAAGTTTTTTTTTTTTTTTCAAATTTGGGGGGAGGGGTGGATTTGATAATAATTACCACAGGTACTTTACATACAGCATAGTTAAATTAAGTGTAAACACAGCTGGAAGTTATTGGGGAAGCTTGGCTGTCATTTGTGTAGGTGGAAGAAGAGATATTTGAACTAGTTGACTTTTAAAAAAATATTTAGTTTTACTTTATGTGTATAAGTGTATTGCCTGCATGTATGTAAGTGCACCTGTGTCATGCAGTGCCTGTGGAGGTCAAAAGAGAGTGTTGGATCCCTTGGAACTGGAGTTACAGATGGTTGTTAGCTGCCATGTGGGTGCTGGGAATCAAGCCTGGGTCCTCTGCAAGACAGCCAGTGCTCTTAACCTCTGAGCCACCTTTCTAGACCTGAACTAGTCTATTTTTTATAAAATAAGATTAGAGTCTTTTGTAGCTTGAGCACTTGTTTTGTAATCCACACAATGTGCTGCACATTCTCTTTTTGAAAATTGTCTCCTTACCTTAGAATACTTATAAATGTTCTCTCCTCCTCTATGCTCTTCTGAAAAATAAAAACATCAATATACATTTACTCCAAAAGAAAACAGTCACATAATAAAAGTAATCCAGGCATGACCTGTGTTTAATGATTAAACTACAACTTCTCTGTTTCTCTGTTAAAAGGTCAGCATGATTGTGTGGCTATAATCAACAATTTCTTTCCTCGAGAGAGACTGGATTATTACACTAAACCCCAGGGACTGGATAAAGAGCCCAAACTGCCTGCAAAGTTGGCTGGTCCACTGCACAAAATCATAACCACAACAAATCTTCATCCTGTCAAGGTAGCGTGGAATTTGTTATATTTGCTTTTCATTTTGATATTGCATCAGAGTTTAAACTACTCCTGTTACATGAGGTCCTAACTGTCCTGGGCTGAGTTTTTAGATGTGGAGTTTACAGTGGACTCCTGTGTCTACTTCTCTGCAGGAGTGCTCTCAGTGAACCCGGGAGACGCTGAGGGAGACCAAAGGGAGCAGGAGGAAAGGCTGGCAGAGAGGAATACGCAGCCAGCTTAGCTTTACCTCATCCCCAGGCATCTCTGCAGCTGACATGACTCCAGATGTGACAGAGGAAGACTTCTGTGCCCCTTTGTTATTGGCCTGGGCCTGTCCCAGAGGAAAATGACAGCTTTTTTAGATGGAAGAAAGGAGTGGCTTCCTTGAATGAGGGTAGTTCTCTAGAGGAGACCATGCGGAGTCCTTAGCTAGTGCTCAGGGAAGCCTGGTGTGCAAGCCGAGTAACATGAATCTAGGTGGCACACCAACATTTATCACAATACTTATCCTTTCGGGAAATACTCCTCAGTGGGCCTTAGGTATGGGACTGGCTAGACTGGGAGATGAGTTTTTCAGACAGGTCCTGTATTTCTCTGTTTAAATGTATGTGGTTGATCATCCCAGTACATTCTACTTTGGATTGAAAATTTGTATTTTCTCTCTCATTTTCATGCCCATGTTTCTTTGCCTTCAGACTGAAGTGCAGTTCTGGAATCATTTTGACATCTACACAGCACCTATTTTCTCTGTTAATGTCTTAAGAGTTTTTTGTTCGTTTGTTTGAGACAGGGTCTCCCTGTAGTCTCAGCTGGCCTGGATATACTATGGAGACCAGACTGGCCTTGAACTCACAGATCCACCTGTCTCTGCCTCCAAGTGCTGGGATTGAAGGTGTACGCCACCACACCCGGATCTAAATGTCTTAAGAGTTATTACATTTTCAGCTATCTTTAAAGACATTGTATTAGTTAATTTTCTATTGCTATGATAAAACACTGTGACTAAAGCAACTCAAGGAAGAGTTTATTTGAGCTTACAGTTCCAGAGAGAGAGAGAGACAGAGACAGAGACAGAAACCATACCGGTGGGGGAAGCATGGCAGGAGACAGTCACAGGAAGCAGCCGGAGCAGAAATCTGAGAGCTCACCTCTTCCAGCACATGCAGGAAGCAGGGAGAGCGAACTGCTAGTGAGGCAAGGCCATGATAGCTAAAAGCCCGCCTTAGTGACCAGCTTCCTCTAGCAAGGCTACACCTCCTAAAGGTTCCTTGACCTTCCCAAAACAGCACCCCCAACTGAGCAAATGTTCACATTCTTGATCCTATGGTGGATATTTCTCAATTAAACCTCCACAGACATTGTTTGGCTACAGTACCTTTCTTCAGATCAGACCTTGTTTTCTGTAGGAACAGAAAGTCTGTTCGCTTGAACCTTTTTCTTTTACCCATGCTTTGGATACAAAAGCAACTAGGGAGGATTATAAAAAAGGAGACCAGGCCCTGTCCCTAAAGTCAGACACCTTTTCAAAGCACAGAAATTCTCCCTGATAACCAACTCACCTTTTCATTGCGTGGTACCCGACCTAGCTGCATTTTCATGTAGTTTATGTGGCTGCTGTAGCAATGTGTTTATTTTCTAAAGGGACTTTGGGAATTGTGCTGATGCCCAGAAGAGGAAGGTTATCCAGGAGAAAAACAAAATCTCAGACAAAATGGCCACAGAGCTAAGAAGGGTCTCTAAGGGAAAAGCTGTTGACTTATCAGTAAAAAAACTAGAATGTAGGGCTGAATGAAAAAAGATGGGGGTTAAAAAATAGAGAGAAGTCAAAATGCTACTAAAATGAACATATCCTTTGCTAACAGTCCTTTTACAGATAGGAGTTATGTTGTGTGTGTGTTTTTTTTTTTAAGATTTTTTATGTATATGAGTGTTTGCATGTATGTATATATGTGTACCATGTGTGTGTCTGGTGCCCAGGGAGGCCAGGGAGTTATGTAGTTTTTATGCTGAAAGGAATATATCTACTTCCAGGTTGTGGTGAGTTATAAGGATTTCTTTATAACCTATTTATAATGCTGCAGAGGTAAAGGAAGGAAGCTACTATAAGTATTTTCTGCAGCCATACAGATATTTCAGTAAATTCATGGTAATGCTGTGATTATTGATCATAATTATGTAAATTTTTGTTCTATTTTGTAAAATTAATGAATACCAGTGTCTCCATTTAAAAAATCAATCTCGGTTCTACTTGAGATTTTGGGGGGCGGGGTGGTTGAAACAGGGCCTCACTTTGTAGCCCTGACTGGTCTGGAACTCACAAAAGTATAAATGGGTAATTAATGAGTCCTCAACCACCACAAATTAATTTTTTTGTACAAACCAATTTTTTGATACATGTTTTGATAGGGGGAATAATCAACAAATGCACTAATAAGGATTTGATTAGACTTTATTAAGCCTAATAATTTATAATTAAGTGCTGAATTTTTTTTTATTTTTTTT